TACCTAGAAGACCCCATCACCTCAGCCCAAAAACTCCTGAAACTGATAAGCAACTTCAGCAAAGTCTCAGGATATAAAATCAATGTGCAAAAATCACAAGCATTCATCTACACCAATAACAGACTTAAAGAAAGCCAAATCAAGAACGAACTGCCATTCACAATTGCTACAAAAAGAATAAAATACCTTGGAATACAACTCACAAGGAACGTAAGGGACCTCTTCAAGGAGAACTACAAACCACTGCTCAACGAAATCAGAGAGGACACAAACAGATGGAGAAACATTCCATGTTCATGGTTAGGAAGAATTAACATCGTGAAAATGGCTATACTGCCCAAAGTAATTTACAGAATCAACGCAATCCCCATCAAGCTACCATTGACTTTCTTCACAGAACTGAAAAAAACCACCATGAACTTCATATGGAACCAAAAGAGAGCCCGCATAGCCAAGTCAATTCTAAGCAAAAAGAACACAGCGGGGGGCATCACACTACCGGATTTCAAACTATACTACAAGGCTACAGTAATCAAAACAGCCTGGTACTGGTACCAAAGCAGAGATACAGACCAATGGAACAAAACAGAGGCACCGGAGGCAACACAACATATCTACAACTATACAATCTTTGATAAACCTGACAAAAACAAGCAAGGGGGAAAGGATTCCCTGTTTAACAAATGGTGTTGGGAAAACTGGCTAGCCATGTGCAGAAAGCAGAAACTGGACCCCTTCCTGACACCTTACACTAAAATTAACTCCAGATGGATTAAAGACTTAAACATAAGACCTGGCACCATAAAAACCCTAGAAGGAAATCTAGGCAAAACTATCCAGGACATAGGAGTAGGCAAGGACTTCATGAACAGAACACCAAAAGCATTGGCAACAAAAGCCAAAATAGACAAATGGGACCTAATGAAACTCCACAGCTTCTGCACGGCAAAAGAAACAGTCACTAGAGTGGATCGGCAACCAACAGAATGGGAAAAAATCTTTGCAGTTTACCCATCTGACAAAGGGCTGATATCCAGAATTTACAAAGAACTCAAACGGATTTACAGGAAAAAAAAAAAAAGCCCATTCAAAAGTGGGCAAAGGATATGAACAGACACTTTACGAAAGAAGACATATATGAGGCCAACAATCATATGAAAAAATGCTCATCGTCACTGGTCATCAGAGAGATGCAAATCAAAACCACATTGAGATACCATCTCACGCCAGTTAGAATGGCAATCATTAAAAAATCTGGAGACAACAGATGCTGGAGAGGATGTGGAGAAAAAGGAACACTTTTACACTGTTGGTTGGAGTGTAAATTAGTTCAACCATTGTGGAAGACAGTGTGGCGATTCCTCAAGGCCTTAGAAATAGAAATTCCATTTGACCCAGCAATCCCATTACTGGGTATATATCCAAAGGACTATAAATCATTCTACTATAAGGACACATGCACACGAATGTTCACTGCAGCACTGTTTACAATTGCAAAGACCTGGAATCAACCAAAATGCCCATTGATAATAGACTGGATTGGAAAAATGTGGCACATATACACCATGGAATATTATGCAGCAATCAGAAATGATGAGTTCGTGTCGTTTGTAGGGACATGGATGAATCTGGAGAACGTCATCCTCAGCAAACTGACACAAGAACAGAAAATGAAACACCGCATATTCTCACTCATAGGTGGGTGATGAAAAATGAGAACACATGGACACAGAAAGGGGAGTACTAAACACTGGGGTCTATTGGGGGGAAAAGGGGAGGGCCAGTGGGAGGGGGAGGTGGGGAGGGATAGCCTGGGGAGAAATGCCAAATGTGGGTGAAGGGGAGAAGGAAATAAAAGCACACTGCCATGTGTGTTCCTACGCAACTGTCTTGCATGCTCTGCTCATGTACCCCAAAACCTAAAATCCAATAAAAAGTTTTAAAATAAAATAAAATAAAATAAAGTTATAGTAATCTCTCAGTAGCTGAGGGGGACTGGTTCCAGGACACTGGCCCCCTCTCATACCTAAATTTTGAGATGTTGAAGCCCTTTGACATACTCTGCCTAAATGGTATGATATTTGCATATAATGTACACAATTTGAAATAATTTAAATCATATCTAGATTACTTATCCTACATAATACAATATAAATGCTGTACTAATATTTGTTAGATTGTTTTTAAAATTTGTTTATTGTTTTATTCGTATTTATTTTCTAATATTTTAAATCCATAGTTGGTTGAATCTACCAATGCAAGAACCCACAGAGAGCCAACTGTACTTTGAAATGACTTTTTTCTTAAAAGTTATATAGTGTCTTCTTTTCTCTCTTTTTTTTAAGAGATGAACTCTTGCCATGTCACTCAGGCAGAAGTGTAGTGGCTGTTCACAGGTATAGTCATAGCACTCTATACACTCAAACTCCTGGGCTCAAGCAATCCTACTGCCTCAGCTTCCCACGTAGCAGGGACTACAGGAACATGCCACTGTGCCCAGTGCTGTTCTCTTAATCACCATTTTCTACTCACTAACTCAATACTCCTCGCTCAACAGTCCTTTTGAATTTATTAGATCCAGACCAGAGTTACTATGAGTTTCCTTAGCAATGAATCAGCAACTAACTATCTTTTTATTGTACCAATCATTGCTCTGTCATCTCAAAGATTGCTATTCTTTACCACTCTGAAATTCTTTAAACTCATTTAAAAAATCTAATTCCAATAGGCTTCTAATTCTCCATCAGACCATTCTTCTTGATAAAGAATATATAAACCAAACAAGATCTCAGTAGTTCTGCCTTTCTTTATGAAGTTGTTATTTAAAAAATTTTTTAAATCCTTTTTGTGTTGATCTTGGCATGCTCCAAAGAGCATCATTCTTCATATGTAGCTTACCCTTGATAATATGTTCTTCTTTCTAATGCCCTTTTAGCCTCTGAGCCAAGAGAACTATCTAACCAGTAAAACTGAGTTGTTTTTTTGTTTTTTTTTTTTCAAAAGACAACTCTTTCCTTCCCATTAAGATCATTAGAGAGGTTTGCTTTTGGTCTAAGTATCTTTTAGATGTTATTGTTTGTTCTGTAAGTCTCTCCTTCTGAAAGTCACAATCACATTTATAGTCTCTGGTTAGGAATCATACATATCTTTGTTCTGGCCAAATCTACTTTCTTGAAGTCAACAGAATGTATCTGGCAAGTCCCAGCACTCTCCTTACTTCCTCTTCCACTAGCTATTAATTACTATTCACAATTCAGAGCAGAAAAGCTGCTTCCAGCAACCACTCAGACATCTGAAGTCCCCAATCAATGTTGTACTTTTATCTCTGCAGATTTTATAAACTGAATTAGCTAGGCGTAGCTTCCAAACTGTCCTGCAGGTTCATTATATACTACCAGAACAATGACTTCTTTTCATTTAAGTTTTATGACTCCTCAAATCACTCTACTATTGTAGACAACCCTCAGGGTTGCCCATTTTTATAAATACTATGTTCTTTCTTTTCCTTGTCCCCTTTGATAGGGCCATTTCTTTTTAATAAAGTATGCGATCTGTTGCTAATATTCCAAACACAAAATCCACCTAATTTTATGGATCACATTTAGAGTCACAATCTGTGTTCTTTCAGAACTCTTCTACCTTTATACAACTTAAGAAAAATGAATGTGACAAGGTAATATACAGAGAGCAAATGAGAGGTAATAGAACCAAAAATTACAGTATCTAGAATCATTGAAAAAAACTTTTTTTTTGTTATTTGGCTTTTTTAAAACTCAAGAAGGCCTTATGGAAAAGAATAAGATTCATAATAAATATTGTATACCAATTATGAAAAAATTAGAAGTTTATTCTGTCTGAGTAAATTATCTTAAAATTATGTGCTCTCCTCTGTTTACAATAGCAAAGACCTGGAATCAACCCAAATGCCCATTGATAATAGACTGGATTGGAAAAATGTGGCACATATACACCATGGAATATTATGCAGCAATCAGAAATGATGAGTTCGTGTCGTTTGTAGGGACATGGATGAATCTGGAGAACATCATCCTCAGCAAACTGACACAAGAACAGAAAATGAAACACCGCATATTCTCACTCATAGGTGGGTGATGAAAAATGAGAACACATGGACACAGAAAGGGGAGTACTAAACACTGGGGTCTATTGGGGGGAAAAGGGGAGGGCCAGTGGGAGGGGGAGGTGGGGAGGGATAGCCTGGGGAGAAATGCCAAATGTGGGTGAAGGGGAGAAGAAAAGCAAAGCACACTGCCATGTGCGTACCTACGCAACTGTCTTGCATGCTCTGCTCATGTACCCCAAAACCTATAATCCAATAAAAAATAAAAAAAAAAAAAAAAAAAAAAATAAAAATAATAAGCTAAAAAAAAAAAAAAAAAAAAATTATGTGCTCTCCTCCAACATGTGATGAAATCATCCACTAAAGGTAAACTTAAAAAAAAAGTGCAGGTATAAGCCAAAATACAAAGTAACTAATCATGGGTTCTCTGACATATGCCTGTAGAAACCAATGCCAGAAAACAAAGGCTTCTGTAAAGTCTTAAAAAATCACAGGGATAGTACAAAACCTGGAAAACTAGTGACACTCATTATTGATTACAAAGCCTAGTCATTATGACTATCACACTATCATTTAAAACTAAAGGTGGTTCAGCCAGATATTGATAACCCACTCCATAATTTTGTAATGAATGCCAGAGTGATTTGTAGAAGTTTCCTGTAATTGTTTTTACTTTCTTGCTTTGCTAAAATGAGAATATGGTATGCAAAAATTTTTGAATTATAAGTTGCTTAAACATAAAATAACATTTTTCTAGTAAACTGTCTTAAAAGGAAAACTGTCATTATGTTGAATCAATTTTATAGGGCAATCAGTTAATTTAAGTAAACACAATAACTATCAATAGTCCTGTTTATTGTGAGTAGAGACTTTCCCATTTACCATTTCTCTCCCCAGGACAAATTAAAGTAGTTCTTACCTAATTCATAGAGATGCCCATCTACATGAACTAATGCAATAAAGTGAAGATCTACTTTTTCATCTATACTTGGTGCCTGGAATAGGAGGGAAAAAAATATGTATTACATACATTAGTAGTCAAACAAATCAGTCATGTATATATAAATACATACAAATAACATCAAATGATATAAAAGAACATTAATTCAATATAATTCAAGGCTTAATGTGTGATATAATGGACAAAGAGTGACCACACCTATGTCTGTGACAATGTGCTCATTCATCAGCAAAGAAACAGTGACTAAAAGCACAACTTTCTTAATCTCTACTATCTAAAAATCAAAAATTGTGTTCACCTTAGAAGCCTCAGCCCTCAGCACGATGCCTGGTATATAGAATATGCACAATGAATACTTAATGAATAAAATGAATACATAAACTGCTTTGTATGATTTTTAAAATTTGAAATAAGAAAGTTAAAATTTTTTATGCATAACATCTTTTATTTTTTTTTGAGACGAAGTTTCGCTCTTGTTACCCAGGCTGGAGTGCAATGGCATGATCTCAGCTCACCACAACCTTGACCTCCTGGGTTCAAGCAATTCTCCTGCCTCAGCCTCCCAAGTAGCTGGGAGTACAGGCGAGTGCCACCATGCCCAGCTAATTTTTGTATTTTTAATAGAGACGCGGTTTCACCATGTTGACCAGGATGGTCTCGATCTCTTGAACTCGTGATCCACCCGCCAAAGTGCTGGGATTATAGGCGTGAGCCACCGCACCCAGCCCATAACATCTTAAAGAAACTCTTTTCCAGTTAAATTTTAAGACATCAAAATAGCTGTTCCCTTAATGACCTGAAACTGATAATCTTATGTTATGAACAGTGCAGTGCAAACAGTCTTTGAGTAAAATAAGCATTTTAACTAACTGAATTTTAAAAGTTTCAAAATGAATATATGCAGGAAAATAGCCAGACGATTAAAAGGGAAAAAAGATAAGAACAAATTAAAGTACAATTCACAGTAGCCTATGATTTTTCTCTTGCTTTGACAGGCAATAAATAATTTGAAATTAAAACTAGATCTATGTTTCTTTAGCATACCAATCAATTTGCATTAGCAGTATCTACATTTCTAAGGCATTCAGATAACATATGCAAAATCGATACACTAATTAACTGGCACTTTCTATGATATATATAACTAGACAGCTAATATTAATAAGTTAGCTATATATCAAATCTAAATGGTTGGAAATGAAATACAATCACTGTTAAAAATGCAAGTAGAACACACATTTTAAAGGAAAAGTTTTCAAGAGGCATAAATCAAATTATGTCTCAGATTACTTAATATCCTTTCAGTAACAGATAGTATCTTAACTAAAAAAATTACATTCTTTTTATCAAGTAACTATATATTTTCAAGCAGTTGTAATATGAAGTTTTGTGATGCAGATATTGAAAAGTACAGAATAAACATTACTATCTTGGATTTACAGAATGTTTCTAAAACATTTATATATACAGTGTCTCACCTAATCTCACATTATTCTTCAGAGATCATTGCTTTCAAATTATGAATGGAAGAAATTCAACATAAACTGATGTAGCAAGCCAGCTCTTTCTAACTTCACTCTAGAACTACAGAATGCCACAGGTGGCAATCAGGGTTATCTAGTTTTACTGTTGCTCCAATACTGGACTTTTCTCTACCACAGCCCCATCTTGTGGTAGCCCCTTTAATGCCAGAGGCTCCTCCACTAGGTTTTGAGGCAGTCCATTCCATTGTTACACAGTTTCATTAGAATTTTCCCTCATACTGAGGCTAAGATACGTCTCCTTGTATTTTCCAGCATCTTAGAAAAAAATCAAATCCCTACTGAACATATTTCTTCAAAGATGTGAAAACAGAAGAATAAAGAGTTTCCCTTACTTTCCTGGACAGGGAATAAAAAAAGTTTAGTGGCCACTCAATCTAATATCTGCATTTTAGATTAGAATCAAATTTTTCAAGGCTAAACCCAGGTAATTATACAAACTATAACTTCAATTATATAACAAAAAGGCTATAATGAATTATTTATTCAACTAGGAAAGAGTCTTGTTTTACTCATTTTAAGACAACTTTCCAATAGGATATGAAGTAATTCTAAATGTTTTGAACTTTATGCTTTTATAAACTATTAGTTATCTTAGCACCATCTCTTCTTAAGAATTACACATCGAATAACTTCTATTTTTCATATTGTACCAGTAAATACAACCATGCCAGAGGTAAAAGTCATACAACTGAAGTCACAGAACTGAATATGGACGCAACCCCTGCAAGCCTCTTTCTTATCAATCTCGAGGTTTAAATGAGCTGCATGAAAGTACTTTGCAAATTGCTAAGTGTTATATAAGCATTATGTATACTCCAATAATACTATATTATCACAAATGTAAGCAATTACCAAATGTAGTGACTCAAAATTGTGCATCATTTTACCTTTAATCTAAAAGTGTATACTTAAAATACAAAACTCTAAAGAGAGTATGAAAAGCCTTCAAACTATTACAAAAGATAAGCAAAGCTCAAAACTTCTAAGCCTTCCACAAAACCTCAGTACCTATGATAAGCTTTTTCTTTGGTCAGGTTCAACTATTCTCAGAGTCTAAAAATCTGTAATTACTTAATTTGTAATATTTTCCTTCATATACATATATCTGAAGAAAATATGTAATATATATCTAATTTATATATATATATATATCCCTCCTGAACATAGGGAGATATATATATATGGTGTGTGTGTGTATATATATATATATTTTTTTAATATATAATAAATTAGGGAGATACATTTTATATATATATACATAATTTAGAATGCAATACTTCTTAGTTAACTCAAAGAATTAAAAAGTGCTAAAAAAATCAATTAGATATAAATTAATCAAATACTAAATATAAACTTCATATTAAAATATACATTAAATTTAATGTATAATTGTATAGAACTTAATATATATGCCAGGCACTGTTCTAAATGTTTTATATATATCAAATAATTAATCATCATACTGGTTGAGCATCCAAATCCAAAAATCTTAAATCTGAAATGCTCTAAAATCCCCAAGTTTCTGAGTACTAACAGATATTCAAAGGAAATGCTGATTGGAGCATTATGGATTTCAATTTTTCTGGCTTGAGATACTCAACCAGGTAAGTCCAAATAAATAATCCAACCAAATTCCAAAACACTCTCCATCCCAAGCATTTTGGATAAGAAATACTCAACCTACATATAAACCCAATAAGTTATATGATTATACCCATCTTATTCTCAAGAAAACTCTTCTGTAAGCATTATGAAACATGCTCTAAGTCATGCAGCTAGTAAGTGATGGGATCTGATTCAAACCCAGGCAGTGTACATCTAGAATCCATGTTCTTAACTAGTATACTATAAAAATATTTACAGCTACAAGGCAATGGAATTAATGCAGAGCTAAGATCAATATTATATGAAAGCATATAAAACAGGAAATGACTAATTTTATATGTTCATTTATATTTGGAACATTTTTAAGTAGAAAAGAAATAATTCATGTTAGAATTGGATCAACTATGCTCATGTCAGAATTTACACCTTTAGGAGTCTACCCAGGTCATCTAATTCACTTTGTATCTCTCATTGTGCCAAACAGTATATGGCACAGTAGAGAAGCAACAAATATCAAATGGATGAATGACTAAAAATGAAGAATGCCATGACCCAATGAGGACAATGAAATAGAGAGAAAGAGAGACACCAGTTTGTTGATACTTGGCACAAATGGAAAGGTATTTGATGACTATACTGATATTTGGAGGAAGCAAATATATAAGGAAAGATTCTACTTCATAGTTTGAGTACAGCACTAGAAGGGTAAATAAGGGGAAGGAAAGAATGCTTGGCATTGACTTTTAATTGTTCTTAAGCATTAAATGTATGTATAATCAGACTTCCTCCTCTGGCTTCAAAAGCCACAATGATTTATAGAAATGTCAAGTTTCTTACAAATGTATGGCACACACCAAAGCTTTTAGATATTGCATTTCTAGGGAGGCTCTACCAAACCACAGTCATTGCCTTTAATAGTCCAAAACATCAGAAAGACAAGAGCTGTAGTTGCTTAATTGTGTAGTGTATCTCAATTATGAGAATTACTAGAATGCCATCATCGGCCTCAATATTTAAGATAATTAGCAAGATTATAAGGAAAATGCATTTTTAATAGTTTACAGATATCATTAGGCTATAAAAGAGAAATCATAAATTTGTGGGAAGCCTACATCAATACATATGGAGAAAATCTTCATTTCCTATTTGGAAAAGATCTTTAGAAACTGAATAGGCAGGAAAGATCAGATCAAGATTAAACCAAGTACCTGAGCCACCTCAGGGAATAAAATAATAGCTTAGATGAAACACCCTACACCATGAAGGATTTAGATTGAGGATAGAGTAAGTAAAGTAAGCCCAGAGCATGGCAAGAGACTAAAGTCATGCTCAGAAACGTTAAAAATAATAAAGTAATAGACGGAAAAGAACTCAGAAGGTATGCAAACATTTGTTGACCTAAGTCAACTAAATGAATTCAGTAAGCTGAAGGGTAAGAGAACACATACTCACTTTAACAATTAACCAGACTTAAACATTATCACGAATGTGGATCAGTACTCATCAAAAGGCAGGTGCCGTTATGTTGGCAGGATATGGAGTGGAAAGATGGATGTTTCGAGGCACTGGCGAAAGTCAAGCTAGACTGCAAAGCATAGAAGTATGCTTGCAATCTTATCGGGCGAGAGAAAGCTAATGGTTGAGTGAACCAAGAGAAAAGCACTCTGAAGACTGAAGTTGTTTGAGAGAGAAAAAAAAATGAATAGCCCTTGTCACTGGAAGAAGAGATGGAAGATTGACTAAACTTACAACAGAATGGAGACCCAAAGATGGTAGGCGTAAGAAGGGTCGCCAGCGACGAAGACGGAGACATGGACTGGTAGCCTTTGCAGGGCCTACATGGCTACGTTTGACCCAGGGCAGAGATGCTTGGTGACACAATGAT